CTCGGCAAGCATTTGGGCACGCAGCCAAACTGGATCTCTTGGCAAGCTGAACATAAGGCTCGAAAACACATCACTTTTTCTATGACTACATCAAAAGCTTGCCAAAAACTGGCATTTTAACTTTTTCTCATTAGTTTATTTCTCTCGATGTCTTCTTTTACTCAGCATCGTCAACTTGTTGATGACGTCACGTTGCTAGTGCGTTTGAGATGCATTTCATCGTGCTCTAGTTTGATCAACTCCTCCGTTGCGCCCAACAACGCTGGCATTCTTCCCACCAATGTGCGTTGCGTCGTCTTTTCCACTTACCAACGGCACCGCTTCAGGTTGCTAGGAGTCACCGCAAGAGGCTCTAGCAATTGTACGGGGTCGACTGGGGGAAAGGAGGAAAATTAAAAGAGTAGGGCAGCGCTCTTGGGGCTCACGTCGCAGGCATACCCTAGTCTTTTTTTAGGAGGCATTGTTGGCGTTATTATGCCGACCATCATATTTATTCTATTGATGGGGTTTCGTTAACTACAAATTCTGGTACAAGGGACATTTGAATAGAATTGACTAAAATGTGAAGTCAGCAAGAAGGTCAAGACTCCTTTACAGTGGGCTTTTCTACTGTGGAGATCCCAAATTCAGTAACTTCCGACTCAGACATCGATGGCAAAGGCGCGCTGCTGAAATAGAAATATTGATTTATGAACGAAGGTCGCGGAACTGTGGTCTGGTAATGGTCAGTAATGCCTAACTGAGCCGACAAAAAATCAGCGTGCAGCATGCTTGGTTTTGCGTTTTCGAGTCGCTGCTTCAAGTGATCGCTGTGTACAGAGCTTGGCCGGGGGGTCAGCCGCCGTTGCGCAAAATGCCTATGTGCGGTTTTGAGGAGCCAGCGGGTGATGTAATTTGTCGCTTTCATTGAGGCACATTACAGCTGCTTCGCTTTCGTGTGTCTGCTAATGTGATGGTCTTGCCCACAAAGTTTGGAGCGAAGTTCAGCCTAGCCACAACTTCGAGGAAAAATCTCGGTTGCGATGTGCATGGCCGCAGTACCCAATGTTTCAAAGTATGTAATGCTCTATTTTATGTGTGAAGAGTTGTCCCATGGTGGTGTCTTCGTCTCTCGGACCTAGAGAGGCACTGAACTCATGTTCCAATGAGTTCAGTGCGCTATCGTAATCTGCTAGCTGAACTAGTGCTTGCAGCTTCCTTAACTGCATCGCGACCCATGAAGACAGAGTGAGTGCGAAAACATCACTACGTGGTGCGGTTTTCGACGGTTGTGCCGTTTAAGAGGTATAATTTATTTTAAAAACTCAGTTTTTTTGTGCCTTCCACAATAATTTTTGCCACCTCCGCAGGTGCAAAAAATTTTTATAGTACTTCTGTGTAGTTTGCAGTGGAGATATTTTGGAGTTCAAAAAAAAAAAAGGGCGGGGGGAGGCACAGAAACTAAGTGTGATATTCAAAAGATTATTCTTTTTATGCTCTCTTTAACAGTAAATTTGTTTATGACTTGTAATTCTCTCTGCTTATAACAGGCCCATGCAGTGTTTACATAAAAGTCTGTTGTAACAGTATTTGGATTTTACATACTCCTTTTACAACAGACCGAAATCCTCTGCACTATAGAGGTCTGTTGTAATGAGGTTATATTGTACATATCTATGTAAGGTGTTGATTTCATATTAGCCATTGTCATGTCATTCCTCCCAATGTATAATACAGAGTATTATTTATTGTTATCCCACTGGAGGTAATACATGAGCCGCCTCCTTTTGGAGCTGTGCCAGTGGTAATGTTGCAAGATTGATGCCATAGGCCCTCTTTTGTCTGGCTCAGTTTCGCATTCAGAAAGCCTTTGAATGTGAAGTATTTGTTCAATCAGCTTTTACATCAGCATAATTAATGAAAATTTTTCTGACCAACAAGATCAATAGTATGCGCTCCAAACTCTTTATTTTAGCTGCTGAAGATGACTAATTTTGAAATAATGTAGATTTTGTTATTGACACATGCAACTGTATAAATTGCTCATTATCTAGGGTTACTTAATCTGGTAGCATTAGTCTAAATCACTAAAAGGGTAATAACATCGTCATTATATGCAGTAAACAGCGTTGTAAGACAGGATGAAATGAAAGAACACAGACCACTGCACTGACTAACAACCTATTGTTTATTCTTTCGGGCACCATATATACTCAACCACTTTTTGCGAAAACAAACAAACAATAAAAGGCTGAAACTAGTGTGCACATAACTTCCTCAGGAAGAGTGCAATTAAATGGAGGCTTACTTCTGCCTCACCGTGATTGTGAATATGAAAGGTTGTCCACTACAGTGGATCAGTGCTAAGGTGCTCAGCTGCTGACCCGAAGGTCGTGGGTTTGATCTCAGCCGTGGTGGCTGCATTTCGGTGGGTGCAAAATGGTAGAGACCCATGTACTCTGCGATGTCTTAGTGCACGTTAAAGATCGCCAGATGGTGAAACTTTCTGGAGTTCTACACTACAGCGTCTCAAATAGTCATATGGTGTTTTTGGGACGTAAAATCTTATTAAATATGGAAGGTTTTAGTTATGAGACATGCATGATTATTATGATGTACTTGAATGCTGCATGATGAAGTCTATGTGGGCAGTCAAATGTTAAACCTCATAACGACTGATCAAGGGGTAGGATTCGTATGAGGGATGTGGAAACTTTCGTAAGAATACTGGCATCACGTGCGTGATGTGGCCGTGGGCCGTGGAGTATGAAAGCAGTAGAAAAGATCATCAGGGCTAATTGCGAGTACATTGCTGGCTGGGATGGCTTGTTTGTTACAACTTCTGTAGTGCTTCTGCAGTGACTATGTCCGGAATAGTTGTGCTTATGGAGCTCCTTTCCAACCAAACCTAGTTTGGTTAAACTACCGCGAAGGGGAATGTGTCACACTGGTTTGACGCATGCGCAGGAGGATCTTTAGAATCTGTTCATTTGTAGATTAAGACATCTTTCGTGCCATCCAATGTGTGAGAGATCTGATTTTTTTAAAGCCCTTGATAACTTATAGTAATAGTTATTAGGTTAATTTTAACATCCCAAAACCAAGATATGATTATGCGAGACGCGTAGTGGAGGGCTCCGGAAATTTTGACCATCTGTCGTTATTTAAAGGGACACTAAAGTGAACTATTAAGTTGAAGTTGATTGTTGAAATGGCAGTTCAGAAGCCTCGTAGTGTTACTTTTGTGCCAAGGAAGGCCCTATTTCGAAATAAAATCATGTTTTAGTGATCCGCATCAGGTTAGTGCACTTCAAATCACCCACCTCAAGAAGCGAACCGACCGGACCGACTCACGTCACTGTTGCTGGGCTTCACTGCGCTAGTAGCAGCAGACCAAAAGCCGCGGGAGCCACAGCAGCAACGACGGCCATTAATCAATTTCCCTCCATTGGGCTTCGAGATTGCAGACACTTTTGTTTCAGCTGCACCCCGTCAGATGGCACCGCCTGTCCTGTGTAACCACGCGAAAATTGAATTTTTGAACCACTCGCGCCATTCATTATAGTAACGTCTGGCGGTTCTTTTTTTCATGAATCAAACAGAAACAAACAAACAAGCAGCATTTTATTGCATCTCTTAATGCATGGAAAGCTCTTTATTTAGTTCAGTTGAATCGATTACTAGGGATTAATTGTAGGCCATCCGTCTAATGTCATTAGGATTATCCTAAATATGTCCTACTGCGGCGCTTGTGTTCTTGTGCATTTACCTTAATTTCTGGGTAAGTGGGGCACTGTTGTTGATAATATTGTCATTTTAGATTTAACACATTGAGCTTTCACTCTGACGTAAATTGTTATTTGACTTTAGTGTCCCTTTAACATGCATCTAAACCTAAGTACACGAACCTCAAGCATTTTCACCCCCATCAAAAATGCAGCCGCGGCAGCTGGGATTCGATCCCGTGACCTCTGGTCAGCATTTGAGCACCATAGCCACTAGACCATTGTGGTGGGTGCCTTTGACAAATTAAAATTTGTCGGTTAGGATACACTGGTAAGTGTAATGCATTGGTCCGATACCCTTTTCTTAAATTAGATTTTGATCCACAGTTTGAAAATATTCCCCTGTATTTCATGCTGTGGAATCGGGAGTGTGGCCCTTACATTGGTTTATATGAATTCAGCAGTATTTTCTGTAATATTAGTGTTATGTATTAGAAAAAGAAAACTTTGTATATGATCAAGTTTTTTGTTGAAGTGCACTGGAGACAGACGGACAGAAGAGGCTGACAAGGCAAGCGCTGACCTTGTAAGCCTCTTCTGTCGATCTGTCTTCAGTGTGCTTCAACAAAAAATTTTCAATCATGAACGTAATCCAACTAGCCCAACTTGCCACTTTGTATATGTAATTGCATAGTTTGAATGCAAACATGTTCATGAAAATATGTTTGCCTGGAAGAAAAAGTTGGGAATAGCTTTTTAAAAAATATTTTTTGCAGAATATTAGAGAAAAAGATGCTGCTGTTCCAGTTTGCCCAGATAGATATTGTGTTAAGTGTAACAGGGACTAGAGTAGATGTTTGATCCAACATTTTGAATAGGCTGGGTAGGATTATTGAAAAATTGCTATATTGTATGGTACTTTTCGTTAAGTTGGACGGGTGGGTAAACACAGACACAAGAAGGAATGAAAAAGACAACATAAACCCCAACTGTATATCTTTTACTCAGAATTTTATGCTAGCCTTCTGAACACCTTCTGTAAGTGTGAACTTTATGTTGTGCCTTTGTAAATAAACATTTGCATGTGGTCAGTCATCTGTAGTTTGTGAGAACACCAGTGCTGCTCCATCTGGTTGCATTAGTTTAGTTTACTCTGTGGTGTGGCTGTTTTAAACTTGAAATGATGGCTGAACTGAATGAAACAATTTGTGTTACATTGGCTTTATTAGCCGAGGATGGCTATAGTACTACTGCATTTTGTAATGAAGGACTTCCATTTTAAATATGTAATTTCAGGCCATCTAACACACTTGTTTGATGTCACCAATGCTGACTGGGACAGAATCAAACTGAATATTGACTCGAAATGCCGTACTGCATTTCGGCGTAAAAAAAAAGGCCTTCCTTTGAATCCAAAGGTGAGTGTTCCTGGGATTAGGGAAGTGGATGATGGCAGCGCAGTCCAAGCTGTTCATTTCAACACCATTTCGTTGTGTTGCACAATTTGATCACTTTCTACAATGTACCTAAAACTTGTGCAGCATGCCAAAATATGAGAACTGGACACAGCTGCTAGCAATTAACATACACATATCACAGTACACACATCACACTACAAAGAAGCATCCACTTTTTACCTGTGCCTTTTCTTCTATGGCTCCTGTCATTCCCCTCTTTGTTTTCGTCGTGCTCGCTTATGGGGCCATAGTTTAATCGAACCTCGCGAAAAAAAAAAAAACTCTGTAGACATGTTGTAAGAGGTCACAGATACCGAATTCGCAATAAATTCGCAAATTCAAAGTCTCCTAAGTGTCTTTTTAAGCCACCTTTGCCTCAGTACACCAGTGACCTGCAGAAAAGTGCAATAAAATTTAGAATGGGCTGTTAGCACTAGTCATGGGAAATAACACATTTTGAACATCAATTATTCATGTGTTTATATGTCACATAATTGTACTAGTACGATTGCCAACATCTAAAAAATACTGCCAATCATCTGGAAAAGTGTATGACATTTCTGCAGCCCTAAGAAGCAGCAAACAAAGTCCTACACCAGTATTTTTCGCCACCCACCCTCGTTACTGCTTTATGAATCTCCCGAATTTTAAGGTCGCCAGCTGGGCAGATGCACATTTGAATTTGCAGTCTGTCAAAAGATTTGACTAGCACTTCAAATGCCAATGGGGGCTTCATCATTGATTGCATGTTGGGGTAGTTCAAAATACTGTTTTAATTGAAGTAACGGTACTTATGTTCACTGTGCATGATTTAGTTGATGTTGGATGGTTCGTACATATTTTTGTTTTTTTTTCAAAAAGTAAGCATCATTTTTTTACATTGCTCCAAATTTGTGATTTTATGATAAAAAATAGTTGTTGTTTTTTTTTCTCGTAACCTGCTCCAAATTTGGATTTTCATGCTCCAAAAATTGCAGCAAGTTCTACTACACCTGTTGCACTCCTGTCATAAAGCACATTGTAATTGATGGTATTGTTGATTATATTATATTTAAATATGTATGGCAGAGAGGTACTGTGAATGTAGGAATTATTATTGTTATTGAAGAATATTTTAAACGAATGAAAAAATCATCAAGGCTTTCATGTGTTTATGAGGAAAGAATTGGTAGAAAAAAAAAATGCCAGGCCTACGCCGAATGCAAAGTACTCTCACAGCGAAAGCTTGAAGAGCGGCCTTTAAGAACCTTTTCTTAACACTCTGGGTAGCTGCTGCAAGCACACTTGAAGGGTACCTACTAGGCCATTAATTATTGTTTAGTAGGCAGGCATTCATTTTGCTATCCTTCGTCATTCTTTAGAGAAGTGGGGTGCCTGCTGCACACTTGCAAGGAACTTTGTGCAATTTTTGTGTGCTGTGGCTGATGACAATGAAGAATTATACCAGAAGGTTTTTGTATGCCCAAAATCCCCCATAGTGAGTATGCGCCACTGTTAATAGGTGAACAAGATCAAGCTTTTGTAAAGGGTTGGAGCATTCGACGACTCACTCGTTGCACAATTCGCATTATCTGACACCTGATTGTTTCTTTGCTGTTCTGTAACGCTTTATTACTCATACATGTATTGTGATTCCTTTCCCGACATCGCCCCGCGGCGGTGGTCTAGTGGCTAAGGCACTCGGCTGCTGACCCGCAGGTCACGGGATCGAATCCCGGCTGCAGCGGCTGCGTTTTCGATGGAGGCGAAAATGTTGTAGGCCCGTGTGCTCTGATTTGGGTGCACAATAAAGAACCCCAGGTGGTCACAATTTCCGGAGCCCCCCACTACGGCGTCTCTCAATCATATGGTGGCTTTGGAATGTTAAACCCCACATATCAATCCTTTCCCAACATCAAGCCTACCTAAGGACAGTTTGCTAGGGAGTTCCAAGCACATGCGTGGTTCAGTGGTAGAATACTGGGTTGGCACGCAGGGGACCCGGGTTTGAATCCCGTTGCGTCCTTGGTGTTTTTATTTACTGACTTTTTTTATTTTGTGCGATAATGGTTACAGACATCGGCGGCTGCGAACAACTGCGGCGCCCACGTGATCTGTGTTGTGATCTCATAACAGCTTTTGCTGTAAAAAATCGATACCACGTGTTGATGCTGTACTTAAAGCAAGAAGTGCCATGGTGACACAGGTATTGTTATGCCAGCGTGCATAAAAAAACATGAACCTATTTCACTAAGTGTGTTCGATACATGTATGTGACACCAATAATATGGAAGGCTAAGTGTAGCGTGGCTGCTGTCAACTGTGGGCTGGTTCTCGGCAGTGCTTCTATAAGTGAGTATGTATGGAAACAATGATGGCTGTGTAGCAGGAAGAGCTATCGATTGATAACCATGTTAATTGAATCTGCGACACTTACGACTGTTGTTCCTGAATGTTGTACTATCAGTACCACAATTATGTTGCAGCGACATATTATGTACGTAACAGCTTGTATTCCAATAAGTGTGTCTTGTTGAAGTTTAAAAGTTGCATTCAGTATGGCAGTGTGGCGTAGAGAAAGAATAAACTCCATACAAAGTTTGATTACTTGTTTTTTTCCTTCGTAACATTTGTTTTAAATTTATGATAACACCTCATATTATTCAACACAGATTGTACCTGCTGAATTGATGAACAAATTGAGTATCTACAACTAACCATGTTTGAATCATATACTACAGTTTCTCTGTGCATGAATAGAACAGTGTCCAGACTCTGATCTGTATGTCTTTCTTGTAGAAATATTTGTATGTTTATACATTTTTATACATTTTTAAAATCTTAGTAAGCATGCATGCCCATTAATTTCAATTTGAGGTTTCTATGACCGTTTGTAGGCAAAGTTAAATGAAATGTGCTGCTTTTTAGGTTATAACAGTCATGAGTTTTTGGGAGCTTAAATAAAAGCCATGTATGAAAACATGACTTTTATGTTTTCATGTATATACCCACGCCTTGTGTAATACCCCTTCAAAGGGGTCCTTAAGTAATAAAAAAAAATGAAATTGTTTTCCAGTTCTCGTAAATGTGTCTGCTCTTTAAAAACCTTACAAACAATAATTTATAAACTGTGTTTATGTCGTTTATTTTCATAGCATATGAATTTTTGTGAAGAAATATTGGCAGAACGCAAGTCTAATTTAATTTACTGCTGTTTTTCTTGTCTGTGGAAACATCAAGTGTATATTTGATTTTAAGTAGTGATGTGTTGCTGCTGCACTGGTTTGTTTTCCAGATACTTGGATCAACGGCAGCAGACTCATCTAGTGCCCAGAAATTCGGAGTGCCCCAAAATGAGCCAGATGTGTCAGAAGATAGCATGAACAGCATTGAGCTGGTTCCTCAAACCTCAGAGTTTTGCACTTTCTCTCTGCAAACAATTGAAGATGGAAACGAGGAGGAAGCTGAGCTAGCAGCTGCTGCTGCTGTGTCTGAAGGGCAGGTGTGCGGTCATTTTGTTTTACTATTGCTCAAGTTGTGGTTTTTGGCATATAACATGGCTTATAATATCTACTGCTGAAAAAAAAAAAGGTGATCAAGATTGACAACATTGACAGCTCATTGTTCTTCACCATGAGGTGCATTCTTTCAAAACAATTGTCTGTATTGCGCTGTTATTTTCGATTATTTTGTTTAGCATTGGGCAATTCATTTCTTTAGCCTAGGGCTATCCACAGAAGTGGTACAGCTGCAGCAATTGTGCCAAAGTGCTACTGTGATGTGCCGTTGTGGCCGTCAGATATACTGGGTTTCGAGGCGGCCTAAGAAGGACGTTCACACTCTTTCAAGATCAGGAAGGGACTGCCAGACCCTCTTTTGATTCCACATTCCTTGAGCGCCCGCGAGCTCGGCGCCAATCTACTTCGTTTTCCTCGCGCAAAGGCGCGAGACACGCATCGAGCGTCGTCTGCTATCGCTCATCACAGCTACATTTATGGCTTCCTCCACCAGATTGTTCCAAAATCAACATACTTCCTGATATTGTGCCACGTTGCTCTAAAACAAAAAGAGACAACTGTGGATTCGTTTTCGGTTACGTTTCAGCAGAAACTGACAGCAGTGTAAATGGATTTTGTTCTGCTTTGTCTGTCATTTCGGATGGAATGTTCTGTGTTGGCCTGACTCTATATATAGTCCCACCCAAGGCTTGCTAGTCAGGTACCTTTTTTATGCTCAGTGATCTGTTGCATTGGCTATGTCAGAAACGCTGAGGATTCGCTCAGAGGAGCTGATTGCCATGGAATCGTGCAGTGTGTTATCTACGTAAGACACAGTTGTCTGTCTCTTTCTTAATCTCACTCCCTCAAGTTCAGGCTCCAGCAACTGCACAAAGCTAGATCATGTCATTTGACTGTTGTGCTGGTGAAATTTTTGTTATGGTTTGCACACCTCTTTAGGTGTACCACGGTCAGGCCAGATTTGCTAGTTATGCTCAGGATATCCTCTTCCAAAAGAATAATGTGCTCTGCAGGTACACATTGCAATGAAGATAACATACATATGTTGTAGTAAACAGCCATAGTTGCTGAATCATGTGTAAAAAAAACATTCATTGAATGATTGGAGAAGCTCCTAAATGAGCAGGTCGCATGTTGTCCAGCCGCATACTTCAATTGCCCTTTTCCCTCCTTCATGGCTTCATATTTAGAGTATAGAAGGTGCCATTATTCTCCTTGAATTCCCGCTTATATTTTTATTCATTCACTGCATCCGCATCGAGGCCATGTACAGCTGGTTGTGAAACTATGATCACCGTTTTTTTATTGTGACCATACCAGCGCTGTCAGGCTGCTTGAGGCTTCTCAGAGACATCACTATTACCAATATTGAATGCGTTACCATTTGAATAACTCTGGCATGATTAGTATTTGCCCTAGCTAGAATAAAATAGTAGCTTCTTTATGGTGCTCGGTTCCTGAGCTATTACATAACTGAAAGGGATCTCTTGATTTTTTTCGTTTTCTTTTTACTATCCATTTCAAAACACATAGGCTTCAGGAGCTAGTGAGCTGACCTACTTCAGAATGCAGACAATTTAGTTTTGATAGCACGCTTATAGCGGACAACTGGAGAGACGTTTATTAAAGAAATTGCGGAGACAGAATCGACAAGTTGTCAAGCGGAGGGAGCGTGAGCAGCAACAGCAATAGTGTTCCTTCTCTTCTTTTGCCGGTGCTCCTGCCTGGGCCATATATCTATGCTACAAATCACTCCCCCACAGAAAAGGAGCCATCCTGGTGACCTATGGAACGGGTATGGCGGGTGGGTCGTGGTGCGGCTTCAAACGATTAACATGAACAGTCTCGTGGCCGGGACGACATTGGTCTGTCGATGATTGAAACGGCTCAACAATTTAGTTGACCGGGGAAGCTTGACATATCACTCGATAGGGGCCTTCATACTTCGGTAGTAATTTTGTGGAATGGCCAGGAGAAGATGAGAGAATGCGAAGTCATACCAAAGTTCTAGGTGAATATGACTGGGAAGGCAGGTTTTCATCGTAGTAGTCCTTCTGGTACACGTAATCTTGTGCGGTTAAGGAACGTGCGAGTTGCCTGCATTCTTCCGTATAAGTACGACTTCAGATAGAGTAGTGGATTCGAAAAAGTCCGGGTGATACAGAAGAATGGTGTCCATGAAGGAGGAAAGTTTGCACCCATAGAGAAGAAAAAATAGAGAGCTATTGGCTGAAATTTTCAAAAACCACCAATAATCAAGAATGCTTTACTTGCGCCTTATATGCAGAAACGGTTCGGCACCGGGATTCTACGGCCTTCCTAAGATCCACAAACCGGGAGTACCGCTACGCCTGATAGTTGACTTCTGAACATCTCCACTTCGCATGCTATATGAACATCTACACAGGACCTTGTCACTATAAGTGGGGAAGACAGCCTCACGTGTAAGAAACGCCACCCATTTCGTTCAGCGTATGTCGGAGGTGACAATCGGCAGTGTCGAAAGCCTCGTGTCTTTTGATGTGGTTTCTCTGTTCAAGAGTGTGCCCATACCTCTCGCAATCTCAGTTGCCCGGACCGCCCTGGAGAGTGATGAGAACCTGAGCGAGAGGATGAACTGTGCTGTTTGGTGGAATTCTGCTTCAGTGTGACATATTTTTTGTCAGAGATGATTTCTACCAGCAAACAAGTGTAACCTCCATGGGAGCCGCCATCTCAGCCACAGTGGCCAACTTGACGATGGAGCATATCGAGACACGAGCTTTGGACACGTTCGCCGAGCCACCAAAAATATTTTTGAAATATGTGGATGACTTCTTTTGCGTGATCAAAGATTCTAACATCGAGAGTTCTCTGGCTCATTTAAATTAAATCGAGCTGGTGATTCAATTCACTGTGAAATGTGAAAATTTTCCTTTCCTGGATGTGCTAGTGAAAAGGCAAAAAGCGAGGGATGGGGGAAGACGGTTAAGCTTCTCCGTGTACCGAAAACCTGCGCACACCGGACGGTACCTGCAGTTCACTTCTAATCGCCCGACCGCTCACAAAACATCAGTGGTCAAGGCACTCCTGAATCGCGCAGGGCTAATCTGCAGCTTAAAAAAAAAAAGAAGCGATCACCGCCAACCTTTTGGACAATAGTGAGGAGCTTTATTCTTCAAGTACGCCAGCGACTTGGCGACCGCAAAACTACCCCCACCTGCCTTCTGCCAAGGATGACCCTACCAATGAGGCCTATCCGAAATATTCCTACTGCATCTTTGTTCAATACGTGCCGGGAATCATCGAGAAACTGTCCAGGGTGCTGGGGAAAGAGGGCATTTAGGTGGAGCACAAACCCGTCTCAACAATCAGGTGATTCTTGCTGCGGCCAAAAGACTGACTGCTAAAAGAAAGGTTCCGCGAGCTGGTCTACAAAATTCCATAGACTGTCCTGCCACCTACATTGGTGAGACAGAAAACTGCCCCGAAAGGATATGACAACATCGAAATAATGTGTGTAATTTCAACGCATCAATTTTGACGACGCCTTGGTCATCGACACGGAGGGTAGCCACACAAAAAGACAGTTATTAGAGTCCTGGTACATCCAAACAAGGCCTGGAAATGTTGACCGCTAAACTGGAACCTTACCCAGTGTCTAGTGCACGGTCCACAGAACCAGTTGAGAAAGCACCGCAGCAACAACAATGGTGGAAAGAAGGATGATGAAGAGGGGGACACCGTCAAGAAAAATTGCGAGCTTCAGAGTTGGCCGAGCAGTCCCCCCTGAAGAAGGGACTGAATCGGTCCCGAAACTTCTGGTTAGTTCACAGTTCTTAACATTTATTATGGACTATGACTTAGCTGGAGAGTTTATGTTGTTAGAATGTATAAAGTAGCCTCCATATACAACGTCCCCAACTCCTGTCCAAGTTTCCTAAGGAAAAGTTGCGTGATAATGCAAATGATTTGAATATTTTACGCTGAAGGGAACCCCTACCCTTTAGAAGTACGAAAAAATGAAAGGGGTTGGTGGGGGTTGGGAAGGGGGACAGAAAAGAAAAAGCAAAATACTTGAGCCATATATACTCGTTATGAATGTCTGTAAAGTGTTTACATTTCACCAAGAGAGACAACACTCTTTAAAGTTAGTTTAGGTATGCATGCGAGCCAGTGGTTTCGTTCAGCTGAAGCATATTAAACACAGTAAACGAAGCACAAAAAGAACGCAATGTGATAATGACGACACAGGACAGCTATTGAACAGGTCCGTGCGACTCGTCAGTTTCGTGTCAGAATTTAAAGCATTTCGCTCTATCTATTAAATTGCTTAACGCCTCTCGGAACTTGCAACACATTCTTCTTAGCGAATTAAACACGTAGCGACCATGGGCACGGTGTGTAAGCAGTTGTTTAAAATTAGTGAAACTAATGTCTAGCGGCTATGTGTAAAGCAGACATATGCCGCCCCAAGCACCCATTGTGCAGGTAGCGCCATCTGGTGTGGCCGCCATCTTTCATTGTGAAATCCTGCAGCCCTACGCTCTCGCCTGTCACACTTACTCCTCTAGCCAGCATAGCTGTGTTTTTGCTGTTGAATTTGTCATATTGAACTTAGTTAAGACGCCTGCTGGGCAGGGTGCGTTCGGCTGGTATGCTATCTCTACGTCTGGTTTTAAGCTCTAAGTTGGTTGAACATGCGCTGGAACATGGAAACTGAATGGCTCGACGACTCTTCGGCGACGATCAGTGCGCGTTCGTTATGGAAGAAAACAAAATCTTCGGACTACAGTAACTATTCGCCGTGCATTTCGCGGACCAAGACATGCAAAACTGTCATGCGAAATTTTCACTCATATAACTCCTGTGATTTCTTTTTCCCGCGTAATGACTCTCCCTCTAAAGAAGGGACCAAATCGGCGTCAACTTTTTTTAAAGAAAGGTGGGTTCATTACGTGAGTAAATACTCTAAGTACTTTTACAAGAAAATGGAATAGCATAAACATTGTCGCGAGCACAGGTTGCAAAAAGTGTTTAATGTGATAAGTGTTTACACTGTTGCTCTCCAAATTAATCTGTTGACATAACTTTTGTTGATGTTTGGGAGTGGAAAAGGCCACGCTCACCCCTGAATTTCCCACAATGCTTCTGAGGATGTGCGAAACACCATGCATGTATGGCACAATGGCCGCTTTCTAAGCTGTACTTCTCAAGCCCTCTGCAACCGAGCTGAGAATACCTATTGGGTAATCTGACTCTGTAAAGTGCTTGTCGTGAATTTCACTACAACTGCTAGGATTCAACCTTGTAGTTAAAGACTTTGTAAGGAAGTTATTAAAGCAGGATTGAATTGTGGAACGTTTAACGAGCTTTGAGTAGGTAGAAAAAATGGCAGAATGAGTGGGCTTATTGGCTCTTGGCTTATAATTCCAGCAAAGTTCTTGTGGTGACAAGTAGTCACCGCGGGAACTAAAAACCTAATGAAATTGACCTTGGACACTTCATGCATCTAAACAAAAGAGTCACCACAGGAACTAAAAACCTAATGAAATTGTCCCTGGGCACTTCATGCATCTAAAACAATGGGGACATGACCTCAGTGAATGTGGTTATGATTTTAGAGACCACAAAGTCAAAAATACATGATTAGTTGAAAACAATTGAAACATCATTCACAAATCTGAACACATGCACGACGTCTGGGAAATCTTTAGGGCGTTCATGAAGAGCCTGGTCATGATTGGCTAGGTAAAAGTCACTTAACAAGGGCCCTGTGCCACTTTTTAAACATAGCCAGAAATTGTTAGTCAAGGTAAAATGAAATAGTTGAACATGTCAGTTAATATCAGCAAGTTTTAGTTGGTCTTTAACTTTCTCACTATTTGTGAATACTGGGCTGCCAGAGCTGTTGATTGTAGTAGCAGAGCAGGCGGCATCATGGTGTAGGGTTTTATCAAACTACAATACTTTTGAAAAATTTTAGGGGTGAAGCTCCTTAGGGTCGAGCAATGTCCCCTGTCCATCTGCGTGACATGCTTGGCACATACCCGCTCTAGAGTGGGTATGTGCCACAGGGGATGCGAGATGGCGGTACTTGGAGTGTTCACTAGATGGATGCACAGACGGATGCACGGACGGATGCACGGACGAATGGCCAGACAGACTAGTAGACGGATGGATAAATGGACGCACAAACAGACAAATAGATAGATGGACGTACACGTGGACGGATGAACAAACGAACGAACAGACGGATGGATGCGCGGATGGTCGCACGGACGGACGAAAGCAAGAACGAACGGATGGACGGACAGACTGAAGGCTGCTTCGCCCCACTCATCATCATTCACTCCGTGAATATGCTGTGATTTTTTTTCAGTTTCGCCAGTATTATCGCTGAAAGAATTTGAGGAAAGTTTTATTAGTTAGTGGTTATATCACCGCCAGTGCTTTGCTTGCCCTAGCAGTTGAATAAATATGCAAGTCACTGGGATACCAAATGCTATGTGTGGTTTTGGTTATGCCTTGCATCATCAGGTGTTGGCACTAGTGCTGTTGCTTCTATATAGTTCTCCTTTAAATAGGAATGTAGAAACGGTAACATGGAAGAAATTTACAATTTTGTACCATTCACCTCGGTGGTACAGCAGTAACAGTGTGGCGCTCGGCTACTGACCTGAAAGTCGCAAGTTAGATGCCCGCTGCAGTGGTCGCATTTCAATGGAGATCCTGCAGGCCCATGTGTGTGTGGTGCCAGCACAGTTTAAGGAGTACTAGATGGCTGAAATCTCCTGAGCCTAGATGGCTGAAATCTCCTATGCCGCACAACCATATTGTGTTTTTAGCACTTAAAACCCTAGATACTGTATCTACAGCATTCGTGATTATATGCTTGGTCGGGGTTAATAAGGCTTTTTTTTGAGTGCCTTCCTTTTTGTTTATAGTATATGCCACATTTTTTTCATTACGCTTTCAGTTGCTAGACAGCGCTTGTGTACTTCATTGTTCTTTCGTGTCTTTTTTTTTGCGCTGACCATCATGAGTATGCTCTATCTTGCTAAGTTTGCTATATTTCTTATAATTAATATCGTTAGCTTCACTGTGATTGATTGGAGGGTATTTGCTGACTCAGTTTAGTTTTACTAGTGGAATTAATTTGTAAGAACACAAGCTGTGGGTGGTAAATTTTGTGCTATTGTACATGTTGTTAACATAATTTATCATTTAGTAGTATTTAATCTTTTGTTTTTCCTTTTGCTTAGGTATTCTGCACACAGCATGGTGGCTTTCAAGTTGTTCATGCCACTGCCGAGCAACTTGCCCAGATTCAACAAACCCACCAGATTCAGATTTTGAATGGAAACCACATTCTGGCGACAGCTGTAGATGGTTCATCTGACGATAATCCAACAGTGACCTTAATCTCCTAAAGCAGCTCTAAACATAGCATGCGAAGCTAATAAGCATGTTATCTTTCAGTGCTTTGGTCAGTTGTACTGGCAATGAGTGTAAAGAACATTTTGTTTTTGTGATAGCTGTTCCATAAATAATTATCCGGTCCTTTCGATGTGCCTTCTTTTAGTTAATTGGCCTGTAATCTCAAAATGCCATTAATCTAAAAGGAAAATTCAGTGTGAACAAGGTTTGTACTGAATTATATGATGAATCTTGGAGCCACTTTACTGCAACAGTTCCCATTGCAATAGTGTGAGCATGCCATGGAACTCATCATGTGTGGTGAGGCAGAGGTACGATTTGTGTGCTTCTCAAAGCTGGTGTTGTAGGGATTGGTGTGCTACATGTGGCAATGAAAGGATGATTTTTCCAGACTTGTGAACATTGGAGGGCTTTGCATGACACTGAGAGTACAGATTTATCTCTTTGTGCATAATTTGTCAAAAACTAGAGTATGGGCACATACTGGAACTCTTTGTAACAATGCAGATTCTTTGTATGTGCAGCCAGGTTTCTCAAGTGATGAGTGTTTAGCCTCAAAGCCTTGTAAGAGGTAATGCCAGCCCTTGAGAAGTTCTGAAACATTGTAAACGGCACACATGGTGATGTTCCAGTGTACCGTAACTACTCGAATCTAACGCGCACCTTTTTTCCAGTTAAGCGAGTTCATAAATTGCATGCGCGTTAGAATCGAGTACGAAAAAAAAAAAAAAAAACTGAATACGGTCATTCTATTGCCATCGGCATATCCAAAATGGCTGCCCCCTACGTGTGTCGGCATGACGCGTCGGCCATTTTTGCCTATAAGTTTTCCATGTGCGGCACTTCGTACGTGTGCTGAGGAGTTCATCATCTTGTAGTGCATTACGTCGACGATATGAAAGGACCGACTCCAAAAACTCGAGTGCACCACGATGCCGATTTTAAAAGAAAAGTCATCGCGTGTGTAGAAACGGACGGAAATGGGCCGCATCACGGTCGTTCGGAGTTCCCGAAACGTGCGTGTGGGACTGGCGGAAACAAAAGCAGAAGATTGTCGACAGCAAAGCTTCACGCAAAGGCTTCAGTGGACTACAGCAGGGTCGGTTTCTGCAAACTGAAGAGCTGCTCGGCGAGTATGTGGTTGAGCAGCGAGCGGCACAGCGGCCCATGATGACAGAACTGCTCCAAGTGCGGGCTATGCAGTTACCTTTAGAATAGAAAAAGGGTTAATGCGGAGCCAGTTTAAAGCGAGCAGGTGCTGGCTAACTTAACTTTATGAAGAGGAAAAGCTTTTCCCTTCGAAGGGGAACGGGCATATGCGAAAAGTTTCGAGAAGAGTACTATGAAAAGCTTCACAGTTTTCAGAGGTTCGTCCTAAACTTGCGGCACAACAACAGCTATCTGCTTGGGCAAATCGGGAATGCCGATCAGACGCCTCTTTACTTGGACATGCCTAGCACCACATCCGTCGAGAAGAAGGGGGCGAAGCAAGTTCGCGTGCTGACATCGGTCCACGGTAACACTGCAGTGACGGCGATGCTCTGTTACACGTCATATGGGCACAAGCTTCCCCCGTACCTCATATTTAAATGGAAGACGCTCCTGAAAGGAGTCGTTTTTTCGAGTGGTGTGATCGTGCGGGCCAACGAGAAAAATGGGTGCGCGTTGCAATCGATGTCTTACTTTTTTTTTGGTCGTCGAAACCGGGTGCGCGTTACAATCGAGGGCGCGGTAGAATCTAGTAAATACGGTAAATGCATTTATTAGGAAACGTATGGGTTTTCTTTGGCTTCTACCATTGCATATCTCATTTTGTTTATTTCCTATTTAGTGTTATTTTATGTAAATCTCCTCAAATACTTGCTAATAATGCTTGTACACTATCTTCTACATAAAATCTATCAGTTAACCAACTAGAAAAAAATGTTGAGTGTTTCTGTACATTACAGGTGACTTCTGCCTTGCACATTGTTCGCCGTTTCCCTATTAATATATGTTTTATTGCCGAGTGCCTACAGGTCATGTCTTGGTTTAATGTTAGGAGAATTTATGAAACAACTGTGTGAATAATTAAATGTTTATACCATTTTACTGTTACACCCTCTTTACTATATGGTATAACAAAATTTGACACTTTTGCACATAAGCAAAACATGACACCACCATATCTTCTTTGAGAATAGACTTTACAGTGTGCACATTTGTTCTATACAGCTGAACCCCATTTTATCAAATAGGGCTCTGATTGCAAAACAGCTTGATGCAGTGAAGTTTAAATATATAAAATTAAACGTAAAATGAGCCAGAAAGCAAAGAGATTTATGGACTCCAAAGCTCACATTTGCAGAAATCTGCTGACTGACGCTCCCACGCTTAATGCACATATATAGTACTCTATAAAGTGGACGGAGGGATTACCGCCACCGTACCTCAGTGGTAGAGTGTCGGATGCGTTATTTGGAGGTCACAGGTTCAGTCCCTGCCCACAGCAAATTATCTTTTTCCACTTTTCTTTCTTCATATTTACATTACAATTACTTCTAATATTATCCTCTATACTTTCCTTGGCATGATTGTGTGTTAGATCTCATTAATAATGCTGTGCAAGCAAGAGAAAAAGATGGTTTTGCCACAGTTTCCAAAGGTGGCAGTAATGCCCCAATTCTCATAAAATTAGTTCTATTTTTTTTTTACGGAAGCTTCTACTTCCCTTTCGTTCCAATTAAAAAAAGCCTCTTATTCAAAAGGCGAGGTAATTTTTTTTTTTTTCTGGTTCTCTAGAGAGGTGATGTCAGCTCCCAGTCGTGATGTAGGTTTGTGCGGTAATGACTGATAAAATTATCAGAACACAGTCCTTTGTGGAATTGTTGCATTCTTCACTAAGTGGAAAGACAGTATGCGAGAAGACAGAATGATCCACCAGAAAATATCCAGTTTACTACCCTGTACTGGGGAAGGGGTGAGGGGAAACAATAAGTAAGGAAGATAAGAATTAGACGAGATTTTATGTGGATCAAATAGTTCTGCCAGTTGCATATCCTTGGTATCTGGCATTTACTTTGCCACTTCAACATATGACGAAGAAAAACATGAGGCGACCTTAATATAGTGTTTTAGGTAGAGCTGTGCTAAACAGCCCGCAATGCATAAGGTTTTTGACATTATGTATGAAATTGTGGTGAACGTAGTAACCTCTTTAATTGAGGTGCTGGACAAGCAAGAGAGTAGTTCGATGCGTCAGGCCCCGCCGCGGTGGTCTAGTGGCTAAGGTTCTCGCCGTAGCCGGGATTCGAACCCACAAGCTGCTGACCCGCAGGTTGTGGGTTCAAATCCCGGCTGCGGTGGCTGCATTTTCGATGAAGGCGGAAATGTTCTAGGCCCGTGTGCTCAGATTTGGGTGCGCGTTAAAGAACCCCAGGTGCTCGAAATTTCCAGAGCCCTCCACTACGGCGTCTCTCATAATCATATGGTGGTTTTGGGACGTTAAACCCCAGATTTAAATCAATTGATTCGATGTGCCAGAGCCGGAATGGAGGAGAGGGGGCAGAAAAAGTCTCTTGAGGGGACATGTCACTTTATTCACTAAGACAAGAACCAGAGCCTTGATTTTAACGTGGGCTGTAGGCCCGTGTGCTCAGATTTGGGCGCACGCTAAAGAACTCCAGGTGGTCGAAAATTCCTGAGCCCTCCACTACGGCGTCTCTCATAATCATATGGTGGTTTTGGGACGTTAAACCCCACATATTAATCGATGATCAATCAATGATTTTAATGTGGTAGCGATAAAGAGCTCGTGTTGCAAAAATTTCGGTGTTGGCGTCATTGGCTGTGAGCGAAAAATCGTGTTATGTGTGACCGAAAAATCAAGAGTGATGCAAATAAAATAAATAAATGTTAAAAATAAACTCTGGAGCAAAGTGGGGACTAAACCAGTGTTGTTTGAGTTTACAGGTCATTTGCATGGCAAGCACATGCAAACGCAAATGTTCTACCACACGGCCACGCCTCTGCTTGTGACAACAGCGAAAATAACTTTCTCTGTTTGGAAATGCAGTGAAAGTAGCTTTCATGCTTCGCAAACACATGCATCCTATATACATACTTAACGATGCAGCAAGAACTATTGCAGAAATAATGCGTGGTCAAGTGTTCATTGCCAACGGGCGTCAGAATGTGTGATCATTATAATGGCTTAGTGGTTGAAAGCCGATATTCTACTACTACAAAAGGCACACACGCTACTGTGCCTATTCCCTTAAGGCGACATAGTGGGTGCATAGCAAATTCGAACAGGTTTCATGCTCTAAGTGTTTGAAATACGCACTGCGAACAGGATGTTGCTATCGCATTCAACTCCTAAAGGCGAAGTTTTAGGGTCCCCTAATTTTTCAGCATATTGCCTCCTGCAATAAAAAAAGGAAGCATGTAGCCTCCATCAAACTTCGGTGACGTATGAAATAATACCACATAGGGTTCTTCAACGTGCGCCAAAATGTAGCCGCTCAAGGCTTCAGCGATGACTTTCCTATAAATGTGCCCCCCCCCCCCCCAAAAAAAAAGAAACACCTGAAACAAAAAGAAAGGGGAGTGATCGGGTAAGTTCTTACATGTGCACCTAAATATATGTACAAGAACTTCCGACCGACCAGAAAAAAAGTACATGCAAACAAAAAATAGCTTTTCTGTGTTGTGCGGAAAAAAAACCATTCTAATTAATTTCACTGTAAAAATTTTGCTTATTGGGCAAGAGACAACGATGTGTGTTTTAGCGCGGTAGTATCTTATGGTGTTTAAGCCTAAGAGAGCTATGCTGTAATGTAGCTGCTGCAGTACTCTCGTGGTTGCGTAGGAAATAAAAAAAAAAAAACACATCTACACGTAATATTTCGTGACAACTTGGAAAATGCCGTTCGGCTACCTTGCATGCCACCTAAATGAAATATTCAGGGCTAACAGCCTCTGTTGCCCAAATCGGCTTTTAAATGGCCTCTAAAGCTGCGCACGTAAAATCAAGGAGCAACATAACGTACTTGAACTTTGTAGTTGGAGCAAGGCACAGATGCACGTTGACTGCGTGCTTATAACGTGACTGAAACAACTGAAATCGCATGCGGTGCCAGGCAGTAGCTAGGCATCAACAACAAACCGGTTTTGCAGCAAAACTGGCTATTCGATTATTCGCTTCATCGGTTAATCGATTTCCAAAACTGCATAACCGCAAAAATAAATGTTATAGCGTGAATGTCTGCAGGAGGACTCGTACACTGAAAATCAGCGAACAAAGTTCACTGGATGGTGCTCAGTCAATTCCAATTGCGTAGGCTGCAAAGAAAAGCCCAAGAAAACGACCCAAACAACCCCGTGGTATTCCGTTTAGATAACACGTCAGCTTGCAATGGCGTGAAAAATGCCACCCCGGCCAGCTCAACACACTCCCTGATGAAGCAGGTGTTTTCAATGTTCAAATATGAGCTAGCGCTGCGAAGAACTACTTCCGACTCCACCGTGTATGACGATGAAATGGCATCGGCGAACGATGCTCCTAAAAGCTGTCGTAAGATGTGTGCAGTCAATGCAACGCGCGGACTGCAAGTCTGCAAGTCCT